CCACTTGGAGACTGAGTCTGTGGGCTACATCTGAGCAGGGAGTTTAGGTCCTCTCCATGCATGGTCCTTGGGTGAGGTATTATTCTCTTCATGGCCCCCACCAGGGCTGTTTTTATGGCTCTGTTGGTCTCCTTTTGGAGCTCCTATCCCCTCCAAGTCTTCTTATCTCCCCTTTTTTTTCACAAGATTGCGTGCACTTTGCCCAAAGTTTGGCTATGAGTCTCAGCCTCTGCTTCAATACCTTGATCATTAGTCTTTCAGAGGACCTCTGTAGTAGGCTTCTATCCTGTTCCCTGTCTTCTCCTGCTTCTGGTGTCCATCGCATTTGTCCTTCTGAATGAGGATTGAGCATCTTCCTTGTTGCTTAGCTTCTTTAGGAGTATAGATTTTAGTATGATTATCCTATAGTATATGTTTCATATCTACTTATGAATGAGTATATACCATGTGTGTCTTTCCACTTCTGGGTTACTTCACTCAAGATGATCTTCTCTAGTTCCCACCATTTGCCTGCAGATTTCATGATTTCCTTGTTTTTAATTGCTGAGTAGTATTCCATTGTGTAAATGTACCACGATTTCTGTATCCATTCCTCAGCTAAGGGGCATCTGGGTTCTTCCCAGATTCTGGCTATTACAAATAAAGCTGCTATGAACATAGTTGAGCAAATGTCCATTTTGAATGGTTGAACAGCTTTTGGAAATCTGCCTAGTTGTGGTATAGCTGGATCTTGAGGTAGCACTATTCCTAATTTTCTGAGAAAGCGCCAGATTGATTTCCAAAGTGGTTATACAAGTTTACACTCCCACCAGCCTGGAGAGGTTGTTATTGTTTCTAATAGTCTATCTTCACACATTTAAGGGATATTTATTTATTTATTTATTTATTTATTTATTTATTTATTTATTCTTATTTCTTTCTGTTTGGCTGAGAATGAGAAGAAAAGCTTTCTTATAGGACAAGGGTCAAGAAGGATAGAAACATATAGAGGCATCAGGCAATCACTGCCCTGGTTAGCATTGTGTGCCTATTCCAATGGTCAAGGGAGCCTTCACTCTACATATTGGGTCCCCAGTGCTGCCCACCGAGATTCACTTTCTTATCAGAGATCAGGTAAGCACTGAAAAGTGAGCTAGTCCGGGCTAGTTTCAAACTCATTATCCTCCTGCCTCCACTTCCCACATGCTAAGATCACAGGCATATGCCACCATGACTGGCTGTCATACTTTTTTTAAATATCAAAGATTTTGTGTTCTCTCTAACTGTTGTAAGCTATTGTGACTCCTGCTTTGCTGACCTAAATTTTTCTCTTTGTATGTGATTTGTTCTCTTCCTATATATCCTTCATTTCAAGAGTTAAACATTTTGTGGTTTGTGTCTCTTTCTGCATAGATGTGAAACTTTGCCCAGTGATAAGGCAAATTGTCTAAAAAGCCCAGTCCATGGACAGCTTTAGAAGAGCATCAGATGAAATCCTGAATTTTCTCTAAATCAACTGAAAAGACGTTCAGGGATGTACCTCAGTTGGTAAAAAGAATGCTTAGAATAAATGAGACCCTGGGCTCCATCCCAGCATCACATACACTAGGCACAGAGATATTGCATCTAAACTGTCACCTGTACCCCCGCACCTGAGAGGTGAGGGCAGGAAAATGGGACACATGAGACCCTGTCTCAAAAATTCATATCAATTAAGAATAAAAGAGTTGAAAATATGTCTTTTAAAATTAAATCCTCTTTTGTTTTTTCATTTCTTTTCTGGCTTTTTTTCTTTCTTTGGCTTTCTTTCCTCTTTCCTCCTTCTCTCCCCATCCCTCCTATATGGCTGAAGCTAGCCTTAAACATGCAGTTATCCTGCCTCAGTCTCCAGAGTGCTGGAACTACAGGTGTGGGTCTCTACACCTGGCTCTATAATTTGTCTTTCAGGTTAAGTCATTGATCACATAAAGCCATGATTCTCAACCTTCCTAACTCTGTGACCCTTTTCCTATACTTCCTCATGTTGTGATGACCCCAACCATAAAATCATTTTAATTGCTACTTGTACTTCTGATACTGTAATGAAACATGATAAAAATATCTGATATATTACCCCGTGAAAGGATTGTTTCGCACATGCACACACATACACACCACCAAGGGGTCTTGACTCATCATAAGTTAAGAATGAGTGATAAAAAGTTTCATGGTCTGTATGAGATGAAAAATAGCATCAAAGCTGGGCATGGTGGCAGTACTTTGGAGGCAGAGATAGGTGGATCTCTGTGAGTTGTAGGACATGGAAGAACCCTGTCTCAAAGAAAAGGGGAAAGAAAAGTAGTATTAGGGTTTTGAGAAATAGGTTGTACTTATTAAAACTATTTTTGCTTGTTATGTAGTCCCGACTGACCTGGAGCTCACTGTGTAGAACTGGATAGCGTTGACCACGCCAATTCTCCCACCCCTCCCCTAGGGCTGGAATCACAGACATGAGCCACCATGCAGGCTTTACTGCCTCCCCCTCCTCCTCCCCTTTTTTAAATACAAAAATCACTTTATTCTAATGAACTCATAAAAATAGAAGCTAGATTAATGTAGCCATTCAAACCAACACTTGCCCAGTCCCAAACTCTGTATATCTCAGTGGACTTTTTTGAAGTTAGAAGAGCCATTTTGAAGCTGTGCAACTTCTCTTAGGGTTTTTATATACTTAGCCACTAAAAAAAGAAAGAAAGAAAATAAAAACTTGACCTGTCCAACAAAGGGTACTGGAAAAACTGGATATTCACCTACAGAAGAATAAAGCTAGGTTTGTATCTTTCTCCTTGGACAAACATCAATTCAAAACAGATCAAAGACCTGTGAAAACTTAAACTTCTAGATGAAATACAGGAAATACATAGACAGTTTTCAACAAAAGAAACACAAATGACCAATAATTATTTTTAAAGGTATTCAATTCAACACCCCTAGTCCACCTCACTTCAGAACAGCTACTATCAAAAAAATCTAATAGCAGGGCTGGGGATTTAGCTCAGAGGTAAAGCACTTGCCTAGCAAGAGCAAGGCCCTGGGTTCAGTAATCAGTTCCAGGAAAAAGGAAAGGAAAGGAAAGGAAAGGAAAGGAAAGGAAAGGAAAGGAA